GGACTCCCGGCCTGGGCACACACGCAAAACATCGTCGATCTCGCATCCGCGTTATGAAGAGGAGGAGTGACCGACAGCTTGTTGCAACACCCCATTGGCCCGAGCGAGGAGCCGAATGAAAAGGCTCAACGAATAGACCGAGTGGTGGCACGAAATGGCTACAAAAAGGAAGACACGCCAGCCTCCTCTCCACAGAATCCGACTGCCGTTTCGACATTAACTCATTGTCACTACATACTACAGCTACTACAACTACTACTACCACTAGAACTCTACTATACAAGTCAACATGGCTACTGCTACTGCCACTACTACTGCCGCTGCTGCTCCACTCTCCGCTGACAAGCACTACGACACCGATGTTCTGATCAGCGGTCTTGGTCCAGTCGGCCAATTCCTTGCCTTCAACCTGAACCGCTTTGGCATCGACTGCATCGCCGTTGACAAGTCGCCGTCTCCAGCAACCACATCCCGTGCCATTGGGTGGCAGCCTCGTATGCTGGAGATTGCTGCATCCGTCGGCCTCCTCCCAGACCTGAAGAAGGCAGGCGGAAAGTTTAATCCTGGGCTCTCAGTGATATCAGGCAAGACTGCATTGCGACTCCTGACATACGACACACTTCCAACTCGCCAGGCACACAACATGATTCTTGAACAAGACGTGACCGAACGAGTGTTGGCTGAGAACCTGAGCAAGCAAGGCGTCACTGTCATGCGCAACACAGAAGTCATCTCATTCGAATCCGATGATGAAGGTGTTACGGCAACGTTGGTGCGTCGAGCCAAGGATGGTGCCGTTTATGACTGGTATGCTGCCAACAACCGCGAGTCCAAGATGGAATCCACTCCGTCGGCCGAGTCGACTCCAGAAATTGGCGCTGGCGATGAGAAGCTCAACATTCGTGCAAGATTCTTTGTTGCCTGCGAAGGTGCCCATTCAAGCACACGCAAGAAGCTGGGCTGGAAGTTTGAAGGTCGCACCATCAACGACGAGTATGTGCTGGCCGACGTCGATATCGTCACCGACTTGCCTAATGTCTCCGGTGTGGTTGCCAATTCAACCAGCACCGTATTCATCGCCGACCTGCCTAACCAAAAAGCCATCACGCCGAATGCTCGTCGTGTTCGATTGGGCTACCGCCGTGGTGAGATTGACGCTGGATTGCCACAGCTGACAACCGAGATACTCATCGCTGATGTCAAGAAGCTGGTTGGTCCGGATGTTTCCGCCGACATCTCGAATGTGACATGGATGACATCGTTCAAGATCAACGAGCGCTTGAGCGAAAAGTACGTCGAGGACAAGCACCATCGCATCATGCTGGCTGGAGATGCGGCCCACTGCCACAGCCCAGCTGGTGGACAAGGCATGAATCTCGGCATGCAGGACGCATTCAACCTGGCATGGAAGCTGGCACTCGCAGTGAAGCGCGGCGGCGATAGCCACAAGCAGCTGCTGACCGCCTACGAGCAGGAGCAGCGGCCCGTTGCAGCCGGCGTCCTCCAGCTGTCGTCTCGTCTCCTTGGCACCATGTTTGGCGACGGATGGTTTGCCCAGTTTGTCCGTGGCTGGATTCTGCCGAACTTGCCGGAAATGGTGCGTGCGCCGGTGGCACTGCGCAACTCGCAGCTAACAACCCGGCTGAGTCGCACCGCCTTCGTTGACGACTCAACCAGCATATCGCAGCTGAACGAGTTTGGCCAGCCTGGCTGGCGTTTCCCCGACGCCTTGCTGATTGACTCGGCATCCGGCGAATCCGTCAGTTTGCATCAACTGGTGATGTCGGATGCCGCATTCCACCTGGTAACCATGCTGCCTCAGCAGCTGTCTGCCGAGCAGGCGTCGCAGATCAAAGAGCTCGATGCGTTTGTTGCAGGATTGAACGGCAGTAAGCCGCTTTTCGATGTGCGCGACGAGAGCTCTCTCACTCAAGCACTTCCACGTCCGGTACGCCAGCTGGCTGCTGTCACAACGATTGCACCGGTCGACTCAACTGCACCAGCCAAATATCGCGATTCCGATGACCACAACTTCCAGAAGGCTGTCAGCGCAAAACCATCAGCCTGGCCAGCATGCAATGATGTGCTCCTTGTCGTTGTTCGTCCCGATGGCGTTGTCGGCCAAGTCGCCTCTCTTGCAACTCCAGATGCTCTCGCTCGCATCAAACACTACTTCTCACAACTCTAAACATGCCCATTCACAGTTTGTTCGTTCGTTCAGTTTTCATTGCATCTATATACTATTTTATGTGTTTTAACAATAACTTTGCTATCCTTGCTGGGCAGCCTGTTCTGCGACAATCTCTTCGAGTGCCTCTTTTGCAGCAGTGTTGCGCGGATCACACTCCACAGCTGCTGTCAGCGCCATGATGGCCTTGATCTCTTCGCCAAGTGCATCGCTGATGATACCAATGCGGCCATGAACGACCGACTGGACGCGTGCAATGGTTGCAATCGGATTGGTTGCCACGCCTGCTTGCTCCAGCACCGACAGCGACTCTTGATGCCGTCCGAGCTTCAGCAGTGCATCCGCAATTAGAACACTGATGGCAATTGGGTTCACCGATGATGTGGACGATGTGATCTTCTGAGCCGCAGTCCGCAACTTGGCCAGTGCGCTTGCCAGCAGACGCTTGGAACGCGGGTTGAGCGGGATGTCAGCCTGCTGTTGTTGCTGCTGTTGCTGTATGTTTGGCTGCGATTGTTGCTGGAGGAGGTCGGCTGCAATGATGGATGCATGAGCCACAACAACCAGCACACACTCGCTCGGATCATCCACCGTCACATCCAACTCCTCTGCCATCAGGATTGCTCGGTTGATCTGACCAGCTGCGCACAGCCCACCCATCAGCTCGGCAGCATTCACAATCGAATGGTCCAGCTTGAACGCCGCCTCCAAATCTCGCAGAGCAGCTGGTATCAATTCTGTGCGGACCGCCTGCAGCACCGTGTCCAGATCAGGATGGCTCGGACCGAGTCTGTCCTCCTCGGCAGTGATTGTGATCCGAGCCAAGTCCAGCTTCAGTCGGCCGCGAAGCACCAGAGCGTCAGAGCTTCCTGGCTCGAGCTGTAGTGCGCGCGAAGCAAGTGTGATGGCTGCATTCATTGCCTGCTCGACAGCTGGCGCGATGGCTGCATCGTCTTTGCCATGATTGTCGTCGCCTGGATACCCAGCATTCAGCGCTCGCAGCCACGCCGCTCTCGCCGCAGCAATGTAGCCAACCGCTCGCTGCGGGTGCCACGTCGTGAAATCCTCTGCCAGCGCCGACAGCTTTGTGATCGACTGCCGAACGTTTGTGCCTTGGACGGCTGCCGAGAACACAACCTCTGAGAGCAGCACTGCAATCTCCGGTGACATTGGATCAATAATACGCTTGGCATCCTCGAGCTGCCGCTGGATAGCTGTGGCTGCCGTGTACGTTGTCATTGGCATCCGCGCACTGTCGCTCAGGTGCATCGCGAGTCCGCCGCCGCCTGCCATCCAGGCTGCCTTTGCAGATGCTACTTGGAGATCGTGCGACAGCGGGAACTGTGTCGCGAGCGGCTGAAGGAGA